TCTTCTCGCTTCAAGATATTTTTCACCCCCTCCAGTAGGTAAAAGGTCGTAATCTCTGAAATACTGCAAACGAGTCCAAATTCGTTCTTTCCACTCACCAGGAGTTTCATTGGTGCGAACTTGAGGCATCTGGCAATATTCAGTCCATTCATCATTACTGCATTTAGAACCAGAATGAGCTATTAATTCGCTAAAATTATCCATTTATATGACCTATTTATATAGTATATTATAAGTGTATATGATTTAACGAGTTATAGTGTATTTAGGTTTTAGACCTATTAATTTTATCAATTATATATATTTGGATATCACAATTCATTTTTGTGCAAATTCTATTTGAATCATTTTATCGTATTTTGTAAGCGATTATGGGGTTTGAGCGAATATATTGATAAATGGTAAAAAATCGAGATTAATATATATATATAGTTGACTGTTCCACGAGATAATTTCTGTAACACTGCTAAATTATTTTCTCACTATATTTATAGATTATGGAATTAATAAAGCCTTTTCCTTACTGTAGATAGCTTTTCCGATAAGAAAAATTACAAATGAGACTCAAAAAGGATATGAATGAGGAAAGTTTATTGTTCTTTATCAGTAATAATATCAAAATTCATATGTTATGGAACTTGAGATCCGAGATCGCCAAAATTTGTCTTATTTTTTATTCTACAAAAGCGATCGTCAGACTGGAAGGTTTAATTTCCCCATAAAAGGCGAAATATATTTAGTTCTTGACACCCACGACTTAATAGACCTGCCTTACGAAGAAAGATCCGAGAAATGATCAGGTAACGTAATTACTAATGTTTTTCTTCTAACAGGTTCTCAGGTAACAAATGAAACTATGTGCCTTGGCACTAGCTCCGCTATAAATAGACCGTATTTATGAGGTGAGTTTTTCACTTATATTTTTTAACGAAAAAAATTCTACAATGAACGGATATATTGAAGTTTCATTTGGTAAATAAATTCTTTTATTAATTTTGTTAATGCATGGAATACACAGACATAATCCGATAAAACAATAATACTTTTTTATATAGTGGGACTTGATAACATTTATCTCACTGTTCATAATGGGGGCGATAAAAGATTTAGCGAAGGAAAACTAAGTCAAGAAAAACCTACTATATTGTAAGTTGCATGGAAGCAATTTTGTTTTTCATATATATACCTCATTTTCACCACTCTGTATAATCAGGTCAGTTCAAAAAATCGAAGAAGATGCGTATTTAATGGTCAATAACAAAGAAATACCTCTTGATAATATCATTAATAATCCGGGACGACCAGAGAATCATACAGCAGGAGGGTTAAAATTAAAAATAGAATTCATTAGTGCCGAACCAGGAACCTTCCAAGAAGATGCAGGTGGTGGTAGCATCAAGATAGAATAGCGGAGCTAGTGTCAAAGACACATAATATATATGTTTTTTATATATATATAATAAAATATTTTGTGCCTTTTTTTGGGTGCTATAGTTTTATAATTCATCAGTCACACGATGTAATGAGAATGTTTTTGCATCTAAGCTACAAGAACTGCTAAAATATTCGAATCATATGTCGAACCAAGTTGGCCTGATCCCACAACGCAATTTATCCGTGCATTCCATGCATTTAAAATAGTTAAAAAAATCACGTGCGTTCCAATTTGGAACGGAGATCACTTTGCTAGAAAAAAAAAATTGAATGTGTCTCAATACTTTGATATAATACGTCATTATTATACATAAGATATTAATATGTCTCGCAAATCTAAAAATAACAGACGAAAAACTCAAGGTAAATTTACCACGAATCCTACGCAGTATATGCAATTTTTAAACCGGGATAAGTACATGCAAAGAAAAGACGAAGATTTTATAACTATCATAAATAAGAATACGCAAGATACGAAAGCGATATTTGATTATGTAGAACTATGCAGATATTTAGAGGTAAATAATTTTGATTCGAATATTCTCAGCATGTAGAGGAAAATTATCGGATATGTGTAATAATTATAATTAACCAGCTTATTTTTTCGAATGAATATGAAAATCTCGACTACCTGGTCGGTTTTATTGATATAGTAAAAAATAAACTAAAGGATAAAAATATATAATGTTTTTCCATATTACCTTAATATTTATTTATGTGGTGGTGATGTAACGGTGGGACTTGGCTGAACGTTTCGAGGTGGATGAACACTAGCTTGTTCTAATGCCTGTATTAGTAAGCTTTTATTCACTATCATAATATTTCTTAAGATCAATAATAAACGAATGAGGGATTTAGTGTGCAATTTGTGTGTAGTTAATGGAATTTCGGCATGGTCAACATGGAAATATCGAGGTATACCAGCCAGATCTTTCACAAGAATATTTAAATATATAACAGAGCCAGCGATCTGAATTCCTACAATTCCGAATTGGTTACCGACCGGTCTACACAATGCACTAATAAAACTCGCACCGTCCAATGTTTCTCTCCATAATTTTACATCGTCATCCGCTTTCTTTGAACCACTGCATAAAATACGCGATGATTCAGTATATACTAACTCTATAATTTTTTCATCTTGAGTCGATAGTCCCATAACGTCAGGCTTCTTTCCCTTCCGATTTTCATTGATTACTAGATTCCTTCGAGCTTTACTTGCTAAACTTTGACATGTTGATAATAGTTTTAGAGAGATAAGATTTTTTTTAATATAAAGAATTCGGTAAATCACTATAAAAGCAATAAATATTCATAACTCGATATACTGCCCTTTTTAAACGTATTCCTTCCACGTCTTCCTCTAGATTTATCGAATGAATAATGCAAAGAGATAAAAAAAAGAATGTGTATTTACGCCAAGGATTTCCAAAGGAAAATGAATGTACATGAGGTATTAATCGAATTTGGTTAATCGCACAAATAAACATGCATAATTTATATAGTCGCACTACATATACAAGTATTTCAAAATTTATGGGTCGTACACAAACAATTATTATTATGTTTAAAAAATAAGAATTCGAATGATTCATTTTAATGATTTAATCAAGCGAAATAAAGATACATGGATATGGATAATAATAAATAATATTGATTTTTACGGTAGAGTTGCAAGGGAGAGAACGTACGGCCCCTAGACCATGAATATACGTCCCTATACTTTGGCTCTACCAGGTGAAAAAAAACTATTTATTATTACTATTATTATAGTCTTTTTCTTCCTCATCACTAACTTCATCGATATTATTATTATTGCTAGATGCTGATTTATTTTTGGATTTATTTTTTCCTTTAGTCTTGAGCTCGATCCAAGCTTTGATTGCTCCTATAGTCCTGGCGTCGGCTTTCGTTGTTTGATTATAATAACTTTCCACCGCTTTGTTCAATATAACCTTTATTTTCTTCTCCTTTCTAAGATCACTTACAACTTCGGCAATCATATCGGCTTTAGAATAATCATTTTCTCGCATGGTCTCGTCGAAAAGTGTTTTAAATTCCTGAAAGAGTGGATCTGAAAACGAAGTACGTCTTGAACCTAATACGGTACAAAAATATTAATACACTATAAGTCTCTCAAAGTAACAGATATTTATTTATACATTAAATAGCAAGGCCTTTAGTATAACTAAAGATCCTACCTCGAGAACTACTTGAAAAATTGTTTGAATTATTACTTAAACGGTTACTTGAATTATTATTAGTTAAAGTATCTTCTTCCTGGAATCTTTGCTGGAACTCTTCATAAAACAAAGAAATTTTTTCGGTAAGATCATCTATTTTATTATAGATTTCATTAGATTCGTTTTTTCGTTTCTCTTTTAATAATTTGAATTCCATATCGATTTGTTGTTTGAATATATAGAAAACGAAGCATATGATGACAATGAATAGGTATATAAATAGTTTTTCTCCAAATATCAATGTTACGATGAGGATAAATATAGGATTAAAATAAAATAACTCTCTAATGGCATTTTTGAGAGAGCTTTGAAAATTCGATTGGTGTCATCTATGGAAAAATCAGTTAGTTCAATGACGTTACAAGAATACTACATCTCTAATCTGATACAAGAGTCTTAACAAACCTTTGATTCGATAAATGTAAGAATAATATTTTATTTTTTAGTGAAACTAGCTCTGCTAACACGGTTTTTTTAATTGATTTACTACGTTTTATTTACGTGGTTTGATTGATTTAACAAATTTTTTATTCGAATGTTATAGTTATGAAGTAGAAAAATTATGCGAATTCAAGTTCAAGCTGTTTTTATACGTATTTCAGAATCTCTCTGGCGTTGATTGTCGATTTGCTATAGGTACACACCATTAAAGTTATCAATAATCATTGGTTTTTTCGAATTACACGGTCAGCTCATTAAAAATTTATCTACTATGGGCGATCCATTACCTGCGTCGATCATAATTATTATGGATTTATTTTGATAGGTGAAATCGAAAACTTTGGCACATCTCATACGACGCACAGGCCCTCATTCGATGTCAAAAAAATAAGCTTGATCGTTTTTATACAACAACAATAGATACCTCTTATTTATGAGCCTTTCGACTCTGGGCAGAGCTCATTAGTAAACAAAGATGAATTAACTTATTTTCTTTTCTTAACACGATTATAACTGGTTTATTCTATGTGATCACGGCATTGGTTCTTTAGATTTCGTTCTAAGTAATTAAATCATAGCTTCATTATAAATTCGAACGCAAAACAACATTCATGTTGGGCAAGATATTACGGTTAATGAACTAACTATCAGCCAATGAATTGGGAATAGAAATTTAGCTCGTGATCGGCAATTCCCATTCTCATCATATTTCACTCGCAAAATATGACGATTATACATAACTCATCTAATAACTCAATCCGCACAAAAATTGAATCATATATTCTTATACTATAAAGAACCAAATCTAATAGGTCAAAACCCTTAAATTCGATATAAATCACATAATCTCTAAAAACACTATAATTTATTTAATCGTTAAATATGGTCTATACGGATATCTGCCCAATTTTGAGCGACACTGAATGGAAAGATAATTGTCAACTTCCAGTGATTCGTAAGGGTGAAACTCCATCTGATTGGATGAAACGAATTTGGGATCAGTTGACGAATTATAAGAATAATAATCGTTTGACTTATGATAAAAAGCGATATCTTATCGCCAGAAAGATGGAATATTTATGGTAAGATGATCTTGGTCATTCTGTAGGCATAAGCATAGCAATATGTTATTCGTGTAACAAGCTAGTTTATTCTAGAATAGGAAGTGGTTATGAGTGTGGGTTTCGTCATTTCATGGATAAACATTGGAGCACAAATTGCACAGGAAATGCTTATTGTGATATTAGTTATAAAGACTATATAGAACTTAAAAGTAGATCTGAAACTAGTAACTCCTACTTCGAAAAAGAAGCAATTCGTCGATATGAATTGTGGATGCAGAATGCTATTAGAAGAGTTAAACATGCAAGAGAAATCGGTAGAAAAATCAGAGCTGTAAATGTAATACAACAAAAATGGTTAGAGTATTTCTACAGACCTGATGGTCTCTGCGCTTCAGAATTAACATTACATTACCAATTATTATGGGCAGTTCGAGAAGAAATGCGACAAGTTAATAATAATATATAGACCGTGTCTGCAGGCACGAAGTGTCATTTCTCCGAAATAAGCAATATACATATCTATTTATTCGATCAATATATCTATTTATTATATAACTTATTCATATATATATCTTTAAAATAAAACCACCTAAAGTATTCCTTAAGGGCTAGTACTTTAGACTTTTATTTATTGCTATTTCGTGATGATTAATAGCTATTTTTTTCTTGACTTTTATTTTATCTGTATATATTTTATGGGGCACAAAAAATCCCTAGTGTAGATAGATCCAAGGGGTCATTGCTTCGCAATAATAAATCGTGTTTGTTATTTTTCACATCCACCCCAATTTCAATACAAGGCTGGATACGTACATCTTCTCAATATTATAAGAAGTGGCGAGTAGGATGTATTATATTTCTGCATTAATAAATAACGAAAAAAATAATTAATTATTTGATTGTTAAATCTTGGTTCATTCATCTAATTTCAATGGGGTGTCCCAACCAAGTCATACACTTAAAGGATCGTCTACTGCCATGAGAATTCGTGGTTTTTGATTTTACCAACCCGCAAATGCTTATCAATTATTTTGGATGCTTTTTTGGATCATCTGTGTATTGATGTATATATCATTCCGGCTTCATCTGTGGAGACGACACATTACGCTAAATAGTATAATCTCTAACCAATCAAAAACAGCTATAAGTACACTATACTTGATAGTGTAACACCACATATTATCTATCAACATTTATTTTTATACTCTTTATCACAAGCTTTTTTTAGCAAATTTTTACCATAAACATCATCAAATTGATAATACAGACTTTCAAATTAATTATGATTTATACCCAACCAAGTCCTGATACTGTAGCTAGGTTTAATCAATTGCCTAATCTTCGGGAAGCTAATGAAGCAAGAAAGAAACAAGTTACTGAGGAGACTTTTAAGACTTTAGGTAAAAATCATGTTTAAATAGCACATCACACCCGATATCAGATGTGTACAAAAATAAAACCGATGATGTAATAATAAACTCTACTTACTAGTCAAATTTATTACTAGTACAATAAAATTCTGCTTACAATTTAATTTTTGTAGTGCAATGGCAACCACATTTTTAGGAGTAGAGAGTAGTTTTGGGATCGGTGGGGTTAGTGGTTGTTTAACTAGTAAAGGTACTATTTTATTGTTAATTAAAAAAACATGAAATAAATATTTATCCAAAAGTCTTATAAAAGGAACTT